CTGATGCTGGAGGCTTAAGTGGAGAGCAAATGTTTTGAGAATGATGAGGGCAATGAATGTACAAATGTGCTTTACACAATTGATGTATGTATGGATTATGATAAGAGTCATATGAGCCCCTAATAAAACGATTAAAAAGAAAAAAGAAAATGAGAACAACCAAAGAGTTGACCAGTAGTAAATGTAGTACATTCAAAAATTAGTGAAGCATTAATTCTGTGATTGTTTATTATTGCTAAGGAAGTTATAAATGAATAATCTTTATAGTTGTCTGATCCATAAAATCAAGGGGTTGATTTTTGTGAATGAATTCTGTGTAGAGGCCTTACTAGTGTCTTTCCATGTACAAGCAATTTTTGATGAACAGTAAAATTCCTTTAGGAATGGATACTTCTAGTTGTAAGACAAATTAAAATTCATTGTATTTACTTCCTTGTGTTAGTTTTTTACTCTGATTTTTTTTTCTTTTTACAGTTAGCAATACGGATCCTGACAAGAAATGGAGAGCTCATCTTTAATTTCAGATTAATGAAAACTTTGTTTTAGGTCTTTTTTGAGAGAACTGTTTTCTTAGCTTCAATTACTTTTAAGAAAATCATATTTTTCTTAATCATGGATTATTTATAGAGAATGTAGAGTATAGAATATAAACTTAGATATTCTTTCAAATAACACCATATTATAGATATGTAAGTTATATTATACATCTGTAATAGAGATCATTTCTATTACCTTGGTCTTAAAATTTTCCAAAAATTTCTAATATAAAATTTTATCATTTTTCAGTAGTTTAATGGTTATGTTAGAACAACACATTTTCATAATTGACACAACTAATGAAATTGGAAATTTATCTTGGAAATTTATTATCGATTACCAATGATCAGTATAGATCGCTATATAATCTTTTCTCTGATCTTTCTATAAATATCAGCTTTGTATTTGTGTTGATACTAATTACTCTCATGGTTAGTTCTATAACTCTACATAATGTGTATTTCCTTATGGTATCTCACAAAATATTCATATGAAGCAAAATATCATAATTGAAAAATATTAAATTCCTAATGAAGGGAATTATGATAAACAATTATTTCTGTAACCTCTCAATATACCAACTTATTTGCCAAATGTAGCTTTTTCTGTTGGAGGAAAGTGTATGTGAATAAACAGAGGTATAGTGGAATATCACATGATAGAAGAACCACAAAAAATGTTATATGACCACAGTATATGGTGTATGTATGTGGGTTGATAACGTGAAAATTCTTAATACAGCTCCTCTGTCTATGTCTAACTCACCAAATGATTGGATGAAACCATGCAAAATAGGGTTTGTAAAGCATTAACTGAGGAGATTGATCAGTTTTAGTTGCCACTCTCCTGACGTTAGGGATGGAGCCATCTCTGTAGCAGGAACAGAAAATTCCAAGGACCATCAAGGAAGAAGAACCGCCTTAGGACATGTTCAAAGTCTCTGTCTGAAGTGACGGCGGCCAAGGTCAGAGAGGCACCAGAGGCTCCAGCACAGAAACCAAGGAATAGAGAACAAAGGAGCCATCCCAGGCCAGAGGCCGAGGCAAGGTGACCATGAGACAGAACAAAGGAACAGCTCCCAGACTATGGGACTGTGAGGCAGAGCAGCAAACTGGCTTCTTGGCCCACAGAGAGAGGCAGAAGCCCAGGGACCATGTGGTTGAGAAAAAGATTTGACTGGTGGCCAAGGAAAGGTGTTGCTGTAGACCAATGACCGTATCCTTAATATTTTCTAATCCTGGCTTGTGGTAGGCTGTTAATTTCCTTAATAAACCCCCTTAATCCTGAGTATTGTGTGTGAGTCTGTGTGGTCATTGCTATAAACGATCAAATGCGTCGCAGAAGTGCTGTGGGAGGAATAGAGTAAAGAAGGGTGGAGGGTGGACACATGTCTAACCTCCACCTTGTGGCAATAGGCCCGGGCTGATGAGGCGTTGAATTCTCCTCTTATAGAAGTCACGTGTGGCCTCTGCATTTGGTTGGCTGGGTCAGGAAGAACAAGAACCGGATGGAACATAGAAGTCTCCCAAGAACAAGTGTGTAGTTATGCAGCCATGCTTCTGACCGGCCAGAGTATCAAAATTCAATAGTGGGATAGCAGATTACCTTTCTAATATTTTGTTGCCTTTTTAACAGTAAGAGTTTGTTCTGCAACATGATGGTGATTTCATTCCTGTTTTTGTCTCTACTCAGTTATTTACGGCCGATCGTTTTATCCCTGTCCAATATCCAGTGGTTTTCATTATTATTAGCTTCTGCTTATTCGTGTTGTCGACTCAAAAGTCTCTGGTCTCATCTTCACCTCTGCTTTCTCTGTGTATCTTCAGTTTCTATTTTTCTACTAATGGGGTCGCTTTCTTTTCTGCCTCAGATTCTGAAGCCTTCATGGAAGAGGATCTGATTGGTTTAATTAATAGTCATTATGCCTGTTGGAGAGCTCTTTACTGCCATGTTACCTTATATGTTACTGACCGGCTGACATGGTAACTGCTCAGGACCAGTCATCAAGGTCTGAAAGTACTACAGGGAACTTCATCAGAAGGGGATTCCATTCAACCGAGATAGTGGGTAGGGTAACCAACCACTCTGAGAGTTGGACTTTTAAGTACAGAGGGCAAGAGTAGGGTTGTGGAGGTGGGGCAGGAGTCTTAACAGTAGTAAGAAGGAAGGGTAATAGGAGATATCTTTAAGAAGTAGGAAGAATAGGACTGAGAGAACTATTAGGTCTTGAGAGTTGGGGACCAGGAAGGAGGGAGTAGTCAAGAACTCTAGATTTTTCACTTAGGCAGCTAAGTAGTTGTTGACAGCCAGACGAGGGAGTACAAGACATGGGAGAGGTCGATGGGGACAGAGGAGAGATCTGTGGATATGAGGCTTGTGGATATGAGGCTGAAGGACCCAGGACGTAAAGCAGTGAATTAGCTAACAAAACTCTTCTGGCCCTACTCTCTCTAACTCCCAGTAAATGGTTGAGTGGAATTATGCAGGGTGAGTGTATTTCCTCTTTCCTGATAGGTCTGGGTAAGAGAGGGTAAGGGAAGATGTTCATAAATTGTATGGTCCAGTTGTAAGTGATGGTTAACAAAGTTCATTGCGATGGTAAAAACTTGGAACTCTAGCATGGGAATTGTTTGGTTTTGCCATCCTACTGGGGATAAAATGAGCCATCTCAGAAGCTTGAAGCAAAGATCTCACTACTATCCAGAAAGAAGAGTCCAGAGTGGAGTGTGTCCTTTGAATCTCAAGATCCCTGCACATTAAACCGGGTAGATCTAGGGACAGAAAGCTGTGGCATCAGGAAAGCGGCAGAGGAGTGACAGCAACAGAACCGAGAACCAGAACATGAGGCATAGTGTTAGGGTGCCCAGCCCACTGAGTAAAGCGGAGTGTTTCCAGGCAAAGGGCTTGCTTTGGAGGGGGGTGCCACCAGGCATTTAATGGAGTAGCTAAGTGCTCATCCACAAAACTAGAAGCTGTGCATCTTGTGCTAAGGCTTATGCTAGAGTGGCGCGTCCTTTGTGCATTAGTAGCAGTGGTAGAAATACTCTGTAACATTGCCCAAGCAGGACAGAGACAGTGACTCAAGAGAGGCATGCCTGTGGGCCCAGCTTGGCAGAGGCTGTCCTCATGAAGAACTGCATCGTGAGCATTTCTGATCCCACATTGTAACCTCCTATCCTTAATAAATTCCACAGTGGGAGTTTTGCCCGTGAGTCCTGCGTGGCTATTGAGATCCATTTTCGGACCCCCGCTGAGAAGGTGAGAGTGCTGTGGAGGCTGGTGAGTTGGGTAGGTTAGAGGGTGGAGGCGTGTATGATCTCAGCCTCACAGGAATCAGCCTTGTGGGCAGTTGATGATGGTGATTCTCCCTCCTGTGCAAAGGAGGTCACAAGCTGCCCTCCAAGCCCTTTTTACAAGGGGACCTCTAGGGGAACCATCTATCTCATACTAAACACTTGGCAATGAAGCAGAATCAATGATATATGCATCTTGTTATAGCTAACAGAAAGTAGTGTAAGCCAAAGGAGAAAGAGTTTGTATAACTAACCTGAGACCGATGAAGGTGGAGTTGGACTTGTGATCAAAAACAAGGATTTATATTCCATCAATACACACTCCCACCTCTCACCCCTGCTGCTTTCTGAGAGTGAGAGGAGTCCATAATAGACTAGCTTCTTCACATAACAAGAGGCATGGCTTTGGACAGCCCTGAACTCCTACCTTAATCACTCAGAACCATTCCATAAAGCAAGGTAAGCTGGTTCTTCCAGCTCCAGTTTGAAAAAAATCATAGAGGAAACACTCTCGGTAGTTAGCATTGCCTCATAACTTAGTCTCTGGTCCCAGGAGCCAAGGAAGCAGGAGGTCCTGCATCTGGCCCTGCTTTGCTTACATGCCTACATGCCTGTGGCTAGAGTGGGTGAGGGCTGTTCCCAAAGAAGTAGTGTCACTGGAAGATTATAGACGAATATTGTTTCCTTAACGGAATTTCTCTCCCCTTTCGTGCCTTCTTCCATGTCGATAAGATAAATACATAGTAAATCAGACTGTGGAAACACAATGTTTTTTATTTATTTGAGAGTACAAATCTCTCATGTCAATAAAAAGTGAGTAATACTATCTTGTAACAGGCAGCAAAAAGGAGAAAAGATTGGGACTCTTAGCTCCCCTAGGCACTAAAAAACACCACCCAGTCATGTACCATCCTCACAATTAGTATGCTTGAGGCCATTCTAGCAGTCGCTATGTCAATCAGTGCCCTTGCCCTTGGGCTCTTCCTCCTTTCACTGACCCTCCACTTGGCCAAGCATGAGCTCCTCCAAGGACTGGTATCCTACCTAATAACATGTCTAAAGCATGTGAGATGACGTCTCAGCATCCTCACTTCTAAGAAGCTTTCTGGCTGTTCCGCTTTGAAGACAGACTCGTTCATTCTTCTGACATTCTATGTTATTGTCAAATCGTTCACCAGCACCGGAATCCAACTGCACCGATTCCTCTGCAGCCTGCCTTCTCCATCGTCCTGCGTTCACATGCATCTAAGGCAATGAAGAACTGCGCCAGGACGCAGGCAGGGCACACCCTCGTCCTGAGAGGGACATCTGTTTCCTCTTTAGCACTTGAAAGAAGTATTTTTGTGACACAGCTGCTCAATGCAATGTGTTTGATTTTTCAATTGCTGCTTCTGTGAGAGTTGATTATTGATCCAAGCAAAACGAAGTCCTTGACAACATCAATCTTTCTAAGTGTGTTCTAATTCTTCCCGGAATGTCCACCAATATTGCTTCCCTCGCAGATACCTCTGTGCTTCAAGAGCAATGGATCCCAGTTGTGAGCATGGTTGGGGATTTGACAGCTTGGCCATCATTTACCGTAGAAGGGACATGATCAAAATGGCATTAGATTTGTTTTCAATATAGCAATAAGCATGAAAACATTAAACATCTGAGGAGAAAATTCTTCACAGGCTGGAAATTTATAAACAATTCAAATATCAGTCATGTATGAACGTAAAAGTGGATGAAGGGAGACATCGGACAGTGTAAGATGACAAAATAATAATTTATAAGTTATCAAGGGTTCATGAGGGAGGGGGGAGCGAGGAGGGAGGGGAAAATATGAGCTGATACCAAGGACTCAAGTAGAAAGCAAACGTTCTGAGAATGATGACGCCAACAAATGTACAAATGTGCTTGACACAATGGATGGATGGATTGTGATAAGAGTTGTACGAGCCCCAATAGAATGATTTTTTTTTAAAGACCAAGAATATTGTAGGGGGGGGAGAAAAAGCCTCAAAAAGTGTGCCTCTCTGAGGAAACGGCTGGGTGTAGCACTCTAGAAAAATGGGAGGAAAACACAGTCAAGTAGGAAATCTAATACCAAAATGTTGAAAGTAAGTTCTAAAACAGGTATGTGCCCAGCTTCAGGGGACAAACTGGAATCAATAGATTAATTGATAAGCAGATTAATTGAAAAGAACTGTGTTAGTTGTTTTTCAGCTTTAATTAGGCATTTGAGTTGATTGAAAATCAGTTCATAAAAAACTGTGCTAAAGAAAAAAAAATTAACTATGGATTCCAAAAGACAGAAGTCATGCTAGGAAGGAACTATAATACCATCAGCTTATATATTTTTACATAGGTAATATAACATGAATGCTGAGTAAAATTATAGTTTAAACAAATGGATGAAAATATAGTGAAAGGAGTGGAGAGTTGGGAATGCTAGAACCATGGCTTCTGATACGAAAGTGTAGGTACCTGCTTGTGCAGCCCCTTGGATGCTTAGCAACACCCCAGGGGGCAGTAGTGCCCATTTGGGGAAACCCAGCTCTACACCGAAGAACCAAGAGAATGTAAATTGGAGTCAAAGACTTCTATAACCATTAGCATTTTGCTAAAGTATAAGAAGCATCTAAAGAAAACTAGATTCAAAGTTATCTGAACCACCAGCGAGTGCTATTTATTGCTTTCAGATAAATTCCAACTTTGTTTTTCAGTTGCAGTATAGTAGACAAATAAATGTCTATGATGGTTGAAGTTTCTCTCATTGAGAGCTGGATTGAATGTGTTGTTAGGTGCCAACGAGTCGGTTCTAACACATGTGTGTTAGAACCTGTGTGGAATGGAACAAAGCACTGTCCCATCCTCCCAATTGTTGTGTTTGCACTTGTTGCAGCCACTGTGTCCAGTCATCTCAAAGGATGGCTGAGCCTCTACCAAGCATTGATGTCCTCCTCTAGTGACTAGTCTCTCATAACATGCCCAAAGTACATGGGGCAAGGT